TCGAGACAAATCACTCATTGTCTACGACACGGTCGGTGGCGGCTTCCGTGGCCCACCACTGCGCGTGACCGAATTGACCATCGCATTCTCACGCAGCAAGGCGGCGTGCTTCTCCGATGTCGTGCAAGCACGTATTTTTACAGGGGTAGTTTGATGTTGATGGACGGCTTTAGTTTTGCCAAGGTGTCAGGTGCCCACATGTTGCGCAAGTTCCCGACGCATTCAAACAAGTCGGTCAATTGGACAACGCCCCCAATCAGAGATTCGGTTTTTTCATATGCAGTTGCGTTTCTTCACGGATGCACGACCGCGCTTCAGAATGCGGGGAGGAGAGGTGGGGATGCAGGGTCGCCCGAGTCAGATGGGCGCCCGAAGGTGAGCGTCGGGATTGTTCTGGTTGCCCGCATCAAGGCAACATGGAAGCCCGTTGGCGAACCACGGGAAACCGTATGGCCCGTGTGAAAGGTGGCACGCCCCAGCTGTTGCGTGGCATGGTGGAAGGGAGGCTCCCAGAGCTCACCTGTCATTACAGAGCGCGGCGGCCGACATTTCACCATGCGCAGAGCCTACGGTCAGATCAACGCTGCCACTGGGGACAAAATTGTGAAGTGTTACTGCCCACATGCACACACACACACACACACACTCGGCCTCCCAGAGGGCATCTTCAGGATGTCTTCGGGCGTCTTGGTAGCTTCAGAGCCTTTAGAAAGTAGTTGAGTCGCATTGGGCATGGATTCGGGCATGTTCTGGCCGTCAGGATCGACATTTCTCCGTGTTGCGACCGTCGTAAGGTCATGGAGATCGTTGTAGAAGAAGACGTAGGGAGGGGGGGGCTGTTGTTTCGAGGGGGTGCGGGTAGGGAGGGAGCATTGGACAGCAACACACTTTTTAATTTGGTCGGCGGGGCGAGAGCGAACCTCTTCCGCCAAAAGAATTGGACAGCAACACACTTCGACAACTAACTAGACAGCAATTAACAGGCATCCTAACATGCCTCAACTTGCGCCGTTGACATGATGACGAGTTGGTGATCAAAGACGCCTCCGACAAACTACCGCCGCCCTCTGCCTGTGGAAACGCATATGTCGCCAAACGTTGGGCTGTAGTCTTGCCAGGCTTCTGGGTGACATGTCCCCCCAGCCGTTATGGAAAGCCTTGCGGAAACAGTCGGAGAAGAAAGAGAGATAGAGAGAGAGAGAGAGCGGGAGAGAGAGAGGAGGAGGAGTGGAGAGCAGAGAATGAGGATGAGGAGAAAGGAGGGGAAGCCTCTTCACGGCTTCTTAGGGGCCCTTTGGGACCTTTTGTCCTCTTGGTGTCTCTGGGGACCTCCAGGGGAACTTTTCGCATTCGGAGGCCGTCCTGGGGGCCCTCACGGGGTGGTCTTGAAGCCCCCTGTGGACTCTTGAGGGCAGTATTGGACGCCTCTGGGGCCGTGTTGGGGCCCCCGAGAGCCCCCAAAGAGGCCCTGGGGGCCCCCAAGACGCCGCCAAGGAGCCCCAAGAGACTTCCAAGAGGTCCCCAAGAGGCCCCCAAGAGGCCCTAGAGGGCTCCAGGGCCGGCGGAATGAGCGAAGCGATTAAATACCACGCCGGTCACTCGCGCGCGCGTCCTCCGCGCGCGCAGGTGGAACTCCCCCCCAAAACCTTCATCGCCGACGCAAGGACACCATCATTGTCATCGGCACGATCAGCATCGGCGCCTGCATTGGTCTTGCTACCGTCACTGCCATCATCGTCGTTAGCATCGCAATCACCATCGTGGTGGTTCAAAATCTTCATCACATGCGACCAAACGGGCTTGTCGTGCGCACGTTGGACTCATTCGAACGCCCATACTTGTCAAAAAAACAAAGTGGGGCACTCGCGCCCGTGGGCCGCGCGCGCATGTCGAAATTCTTTTTCATAATTTTCATCGCCGACACGTGGACACCATCATCGTCATTGGCGTGATCAGCCTCGGTGCCGTCATTGGCTTCACCATCGTCATCGTCGTCGTCACCAGCATCGCTATAATCATCATCGCCTCTGCCGACGTCGGCGTCGCCGTGAAACCGCGCCTGCTCGGGTCACCGACTCGCGCTAAGGTAGGTGCCTGCGCGTCCTTGCGGCCTGCGAGACGCGCTGGGACGTCCCCAACGGTCAGCGCCACCGCGGCCGCGTCGGTCGCGCCAGACTGCCTGGCCGATCTGCGCGTGAGCCTGCGCGCGCTAGCGCGGCCGCAGTGATGCGCGAGCCAGCGCCCAGCAGTCATCGCAGTCGCCGCCGCATGGGTTTTGCAAATCAATTTGCGGGCGGGTGGGGTGATTGCGCGAGCAGTGCAGTTGACAACTTGAAGCTCGGCAGGGTGAGTTCTCCTTTCTGAAGTACTAATAGATTCTACCCCCCCCCCCCCCCCGGACTTATCGGTTACCCCGCGCGTGCTGTAAATCATATATGATTATGACCACATGTCCATCCTAAATATGAACTCATACCATCCCAGCCAAGCCGGGTGCCCCCCCCTGCGGTTCCCTGTCAAATAACACTATGCGGGGACATTTTTCTTTCTAACATTACACTTTTTTCACGAATCCCTTGCAAAAAATTGGACGAAGTGCACACGCGCGCGTCGTCGCGCGCGCATGCCGAAATCCTTCAAAAACCTTCGGTGCCGGAAGGATTTCGCAATCGAGTTTCCGAAAAACATACAAAAACACATGGTTTCGCAACACTGGTTTGCTAAAAAAACTTCCGCGCGAGCTCTTGCGAAATCTTAAGAAAACCATAGGTTTTTTCAAGATTTTCACAAAATGCTACCAAACGGGCTTCGCGCGCGCGCATGTCGAAATCTGTCGAACGCCCTTGCGCGTGTGCCGTCGCGAGAATCCTCTGCAAAAAATGGACGAAGTGCAGACGCGCGCGTCGTCGCGGACGTATGCCGAAAACCTTCGAAACCCATCGGTTTCGGAAGGATTTCAAAATCGTGCGTCCAAAAAACCTACAAGAACCCAAGGTTTCGCAACACGGATTTTCAACAAAAGCGTGCGCGCGCGCTCTTGCGTCGTCGTCGTCGTCGTCGTCGCCGTCCTCCCTCCTCCCGCGTCGTCGTCGTCGTCGCCTACGTCGTCCTCTGTCTTTTCTCCTGTTTGTCGTCGTCGTCCTCTTTGGCGTCGTGGTCGTTTCCATCGTCGTTGTCGCCGTGGTCGTCCTTCCTCCTCCTCCCACGTCGTCGTCGTCGTCCGTCGTCGGCGTCTCATCGTCGTCCCTCCTATGTCGTCGCCGTCGTCGTCGTCGTTGTCGTCGTCGTCTCCCTCCTCCCTCGTCGTTGTCGTCGTCGGCGTCGCCGTCCTTCCTCCTTCGTCGTCGTTCGCGTCGTCACCGTCCTCCCTCCTCCTTCGTCGTTGTCGTCGCTGTCGCCGTCGTCGTCCTTCCTCCTTCCTCGTCGTCGCCTTCGTTGGCGTCGTCGTCGTCGTCTTCGTCGTCGTCGGCGTCGGCGTCGTTGTCGTCGTCGAAGTCGTCGGAGACGGTGTCGTCCTAGTCGTTGTCGTCGGTGTCGTCGTAGTCGGTCTTAACAGGTTTTGCAAACCAAGTTGCGGGTGGGTGGGTGGGATGTTTGCGCGAGCAGTGGAGAAGACAACTTCAAGTTCAGCAAATTAAATGCACCACATATATTGCACCACCCAGACTGCACCACATGGGTTGCACCACGTACATTGGTTCACCCACATCGTCTGCTACAAAACTTTATTTGGGGCCCATACTGGCTAACATTGGGCCGTCTTGGGGACTTTTTAGCTACCGGGTAAATCACGCGACCACACGTGGGAAGCCGGGGGAGCGCCCAGAAGCGCCAACAAATTCCAGGCTGTGGGCGCCTTCGGGAGCACGACGGCAATCAATACAAAGGATTCCACGGAACCTGGGGAAATTCCAATGCGTGCCTCGAGGCTCCGTGGTGGATCTCATGCACGCCACGCGAGATTGCATGCGTTGGTAGTGCTGGTAGAAGATCAATGGCACATTTACACCTGCGATCCCCATGATGTCCACGCGTAGACAATGCAGCGGCACCCTCACAATTTGAATATATTCCAGCGACCACTAATGCAAACCAAGACTTGCTGAGTGTGAAGCCTTACAGATTGACAGCAAAAATGTGATTGCACTGGCGAAGAACATCGCATGACAAATATGCAACAGTATGAATCTGCATGGGGCACCGCACAGGTCCGTGTTCTGTCAGTTCTTTAACGTTTTAATTGTTTCTAACATGAAAGGGTCATGGTGGTGATCGTCCTGGTCGTGATCGTGGTGGTAGCCAGGGAGAGAAAGATTGGGTTGGCAAGAAAACAAGCACCATCATTGCCATCGGGCTTGGTCAGGAAAAAGTGGAGTCCGAGTTGGCGGAAGCTCAACAAGAGAGTGAACGCCGCATTGTGCTTCGGAGGATGGGCGGGGCAGCGCAAACGAGGAGGTGGGCGAATAATGAGTTGAGCGCTTTGCGAAATTATAGCAGTTGTGTTAGTGTTCGCATCACATGGTATGAGTACAAGTATACACACCTGAATGAGTATTGCATACACAGGCATGGCGATCAGCAGGTAAGGGGTCAGCGCGTAGCCTGAGAAGGATGAGCACGCATTCACGGAGTTGCACGCGCACGTGCTTTTTGACGCGTTTGGTTGCGTCGATTGCCTCACGAAGCCGAACATCCAGTACATGCAGTCCCGGGCGGTGTCCTTTTCCCTGAGAAGAGCTCCGTCTTCCTCTTCCCGACTCCGCCTCCTCCTCCACCATCGTTGCCCGCCCTTTGCAAGCTCGGCGTAGTTTTAGTTGCCCGCTTCCTGGATTCTCCAGGCCCGCAGCGGGTGCCAGCACGGCGCCGGCCAGAGAAGGTGGTTTGACGTTGGGAGGCTCGTCCGCGAGTTGCACCCAGACGTCAATCAAGACCGTCAGGAGGAAGTGATGCCTGCTTTCACGTTCGTGCAGGGTCTTCGCGAACTTGCTGCTGACTCGTAGAGCTGTAGGTTCTGCGAGGACGCAGCTGACAGCACCTCTCCAAACCTCAAGGGCGAGAAAGCCGGGGAGGAGTACAGTCAAAACACTGGAACCAGGAAACCTGGTTCTCGGAAGGAGCTCGGGGTTCGTTGGTCACTTCTTGGGTTTCTCCTCGGGATCTTTTTGCAAACCTAAGCACAACTGAGCCCCTAAAGGGGCTTCGCTCCCAAAGCAACGCTCCTTGCGGCAAGGCTCCGGCTGCAGACGAAGAGCAGGGGGAGAGGACACCGAGGAGAATCGGGACGAGGAGGAGGGTCAGGGCGAGGACGTGGAGGAGCAGCGGGAGGAAGCGCGGGAGGGAGAGGGGGGCTGCAGAGGCAGGAGTGGCAGCGGCAGCACGGGCCTCTCGAGAGTGCGGGCTTCCGTCTCCCGGCTCTGGGGTTTCGGGCGGCGCCGGGACGGGCCTCCGACGCCCGCGGGGGGGGCCCACGGCGAGGGCCCATGGCGCGACGAGCAGCGGGCAGCGCAGGCCCGAGGCCAGGGCCGGGTGTGGAAGCCCACCGTGGCGACGGGGGGGAGGTGTGCAGCCAAGGCCCTGCCGCGGGGAGCCTCACGGGTGGGAGCGGAGCGCCCGCGTGTGGGGACCAGGTGCGTCGGGAGGGCGCGAGGGGCGCCCGAGGGGAAGCCCATGACGTTGGACGTCGGGGAAGGCGGAGATGTTCAGAGGTGTTCCGAGATTCTCGGAGGTTCTCGGAGGTCTCGGCTGGCGTTCCGGAGGTTTTCGGAAGCTTGCGGAGGTTTCTGCAGGTTGCCAGGCGAAGGAGAAGGGAGAAGGATGTGGAGGAGGAGGAGGAGGAGGAGGAGGAGGAGGAGGAGGAGGAACGGCAGACAGAGTGCATTTTCTAATCGCGATCAGACTGGCACGTTCGCACGGTGCGGAAAATGCATTTGCTGCGATGAACCACGAGCAAAAAGATAGGAGGAGGAGGAGGAGGAGGAGGAGCAGCTGAAGGAGAAGGGGATAATGATCCAGAGGAGGGGTGAATGCACCGAAGGAAGAGGACGACGACGGCAACAACGAAGGTGTTGACTCGCCCTTCCATCCCATTGTCCCTCACCCCTTCCATGCCCTCTTGACTCTTCCTCCCCCCCTCCCTCCTTTCTCGCCCTCCATCCCCCTCATCGTTATTCCTGTCCTCTCCGCTTTCCTCTCTCTCTCTCTCTCTCTCTTTCTCCCCCCCTTCCCTTATCATATGTTGTCTCTCTTTCTCTCTCTCTCTCTCTCTGTCTCTCTTCCTCTCATTCTCTCTCTCTCTCTCTCTCTCTCCCTCTCTATTTTCTCGCTCTCTCTCTCTCTCTCTCTGTCGCTCTCTCTCTCTCTCTCTCTCTCTCTCTCTCTCTGATATATATATATATATATATATATATATATATATATATATATATACACTCTTTTGAACAGATTGGCAAACTTTACCCTCCAGACGCACACTCTAGGCTCACGCCTCTAGAGGCAAGCGTCTTCCACTCTAGAGTCGGGCGCGTTCCCTTCTAGAGGCTCTTCCAGAGGCCCCTCGGGAGGCTCTTCTAGATGCCCCTCTAGAGGCCCCTCTAGAGGCCCCTCTCGAGGCCCCTCTAGAGACGCCTCTAGAGCCCCTTAGAGCCTCCAAACCGAGAAGCTATCATCGTACAGCTCAGTGAGGTGTCCACCACCATCCCCGTTTTGGATAGAAAAGAGAGGAGGAGGAAGAATAAGCATAATGATAATAATAACAATCATAACAAGAGGGAAAACAAGAAAACAAAAAAACGCCCACCATCCGTGTAACTGACACACAGGCCTACACGTCTGGTCATGAATTCGGAGGCAGTCTTAAAGTTCTAAACGAGGGCCCACGTTTGAGAAGAAACCGCCCTCCATCCGTGCAGTTGCGCCATAGCTTGGAGCCGCTGGTCTTCAAATGTGAAGAAACTCCATGCGAGGCACCATGTTTGAGAGGAACCGCCCTCCATCCACGCAAACTGCTGCGAAGATTGACAACGAATGTGGCGGCACTGGGCCAAAAGCCCCGTTTTGAGAACCACCTGTCACTTGTGTTCCATCCTTGTAACTGATGCAAACGTTTAAGACGAATGCGCGCGGCGCTAAGGCGAGAGCACCATGTTGGAAATAAATTGCGAGCAATGTTTGTAATGTGTGCGGGCTTCCAGCGCCAATAGCATCAATGATGAGGGAGTCTCAGGCGGAACGCCAGGCCGCCTTGCCCACATGTCTGGGGCGCGGCAGGGAGGAGTTACGCATCTGTACGGGAAAGGGCAGGAGAAGGAGCAGGCGGAGAAGGAGGAGGAGGAGGAGGAGAACAAAGACGAGCAGGAAGAGAAGGAGGAGGAACAGGAGAAGCAGTACAAGCAGGGCAGAGGCAAGAGGCGGGCGCTCCCCTGGACGCGCTCTTCGGGACGGCCCAGGGCCTCCTGGTGCCGTCCCGCCGCCCTCCTCCTGCAGGCCCCGGCCCGCCCTGGCCGAGCGCGGGGGCTCGCAGCACGCTTCGCCCTCTTGCTTGCGAAAAGGCCTCCGTCCGTCGCCTGAAGGAGAGGGGGGGGTGAAGAAGGAGGGTGGGCGGGCGGGCGGGAGGGCGGGCGGGCGGGCGGGCGGGCGGGCGAGAGGAGGAGGAGAGAGGAGGAGGAAGAGGAGGAAGAGAGGAGGAGGAGGAGGAGGAAGTCGAGAAGGGGGAGGCGGAGGAGGAGGAGGAGGAGGACGAGGAGGAGGAGGAGGAGGAGCAGGAGGAGGTTGAAACACGACGTGGGGGATGCGGGAGAGGCAGGCGAATTGCACCCCATGTGTTGCACCACATTGACGGCACATCGAGAGTAGAAGAACCTTGTGCTCCAGGTGGTCGCACCAACAGGCAGTCGGTGCAGCGGCCAGAGGGGGGCAGAGATGTTGAGTACAGTGGAACACCCCGTGGAAGTTGGCGCGGGGGACGGGACGGGGGGGGACGGGGGATGCTGGAACATGGCAAGGGTGGCGGGGCCCGTGGGGCTGGGCGGAGCGCAGCTAAAAAACCAGGGTGCGAAGTCTCCTCCCACGCGCCTCTGGGGTCGGAGGATTTCGCCACCTCAAGTGCACACACCATACACCACACAAACACACACACACACATGTTTTAGTCACCAGCGCAGAGGATCTTCAGGCGCGGGCAGCAGATGGAGGTGCTCATTGCGATCGAGCATTATCGGAGGGACTGTGTACAAAGCGTGCACACTGTCAATGCAGCGATGAGTGGTGTGAAGACGAGGAGCTGCAAATCTAACCGAAACGTGCAGCGGCCAGAAAACCGAGGAGGCGATTCAATCCGAAGTAAGGTAAGCTGAAACGCGAGCAGTCTGGTGCGAATTGGCGGCCACTGAATCACCGACACCACGGTGTTAGGCACCAAAGCGCAAAGAACTTGTAACTGTTGCCAGATCAGCAGACTGGTGGGGTACAGCGCCGTGCTCAGAAGTCCTGCGAAGCAGACTGGTAGGGTGCAGACCTACGGACAAACAACGCAAAAGGACCTGACACAACCCCTAAATAAGTAAAGCAGCATAGATTGGTGAAGTCGACCCACGCGACCCACGTGGAAACATGTACATGCGGGGCTGGAACCAGACCAATGAAGCTATGCCGTAAAATCCTCGGCGGATAGCCGCGCCACCAATAGAGGCCAGTGTCAATGACACGTTCGATTGGGTCCAAAAGGATGCAATAGCGCCGACCGAATTGACCACACACACACGCACACACGCACCCTTGTTGCTTTCCCGCCAGCTGGTCCAGCTCAGCGACAAGCTTAGCGAGCTCGCGAATGAGAATTACCACCAAACGTTGTTGGTGGGCATCGCGTTGTACAGCTCACCTCCGCCTTTTCTCGTGCGCCTACCCACTCTCGGGGCTGTGCGCTCCTGCATGCGCCGCGCACGCAGTTGTCCTGCACTGCAGGCTCGGCCGCCGCCGCCCCCCCCCTACACTCTTTTAAAGGCAGCGGCGCAGAGGGTCCTCCAGCGCAGCCAGCAGATGGAAGTGCTAAGTGCGATCGAAGGTAGTCGAAATCGCAGTGAACGAGACGTCGAACACCAGAATGCAAACGAGGGGTGGTGGACTAGAAGGCCTGTAAGCCCAAGAAGAGAGCGTGCAGCGGTCAGAAAACGGAGGAGAAAGCTCAAATCAAGGTGAACTGACGCGCAAGCAGTCTGGTGCTAATTGGCGGCCACTGAATTATCGGATAAGCGATGTTCGACAGTGAAGCACTAGAAAACCTGCAAGGCTGCCAGGCCAGCCGATTGGTGGGGCAGCGCTGAACATCTATGGCCTGGCGAAACTGATGGGCAAGGTGATACCCTACGAACCAGCGACGCGAGATGCAGTAGCGTGCATGGGACGAGCGACAGAACAAGAAGGCACGGCAGCACCACAACAGCGCGACCCGAACATAAAATGACCGTGACCGAAACCGGACACGACGGGCTCGAACGATCGAACAGAAAGCGCGTGCTTGCGACGCCGCACGCACAGCATTCGACCACAGAGCTGTGCTAACAGCTACACCGAGAAGTGCAGTCTGCCAACACATCTAGACGGGCGCCGTCCCGGCTGTCAAAATCGGGAGTGGGCCAGAAGAAGAGGAGGAAGAAAACGGAGGAGGAGGAGGAGCGAAAATTGTGAGATTCCTGTTGTAGCGCATGTCTTGTACAATGCGACCCGAGCGAAGCATTCGATCCTAGGCCGCAATCTCATACGAGAGGAGGCCGAGGAGCTGGTGCCTGTCGTGGCCTTTGCCGTGGGGCGGTAGGGCGCGGGGCGAGGAGAGACTGTGCGCCTCGGCCACGCGGCAGGAGCGAAAACAGGCGTACCACGCATACAGAGCATACAAAGAGCAAGCAGGGCCAGAGGCAGGAGGGGAGCCCGGAGAGACGACGGCGGGGGACCCCACGACGCGGCCGAGCCCACGACCGACGACGACGAAAACGACCGAGCGAAC